AACTCAATGTGCTTTTCTTTCCTCAGTCTCAAACTTCAAGATGTTAAAATTTCTTCTTGCTTTTGCCTCTTTCTTTCCTCCTTCAGGAGTTTTTGTTTATGTACATCAAACAGTGGAAGTACATACTAGAGTTTGTAGGGAATGTTTACTTTTTCAATGTTTTCTTCTACTAACTCCAGTCAAGGACTTGCCCATATCCAGGTTTTATATTACTATAACTATGATCTGCTGTTTGGAATGTTTATTATAATGATATAGTTTAATTTTTCAACACAAGAGGAATAAAATATATCAGTGTAATATTTTCTCTGTTAATATGGCTGCTTCCACAGTTTGAAAATGCACTAAGATAAGCAGTGCAAAAGCTGTGTGAGACAACTGCAAGCATCCAGATCAAACTCTTATCTTCCAAGGAAGTTACTGTCATCCATTTCCCTGTAAAACTTCCCACGGAACAAGGTAGAAGAATAAGTTCTTTCAGCTGACCTAGGAAGAAGGTACTCCAATTTAAAATTGTCTCTGTAGCACTTCTTTCAAAGCATGAGTACTGTAAAAGCCAGAATTTAGGTCCTATGATGGATCTTGAGAATACTATAGCTAAAAAACAGAGCAAAACTCACATAAACCAGGTCAAAATAAGGAGGAAGAGTGCAGTGAATGCTAACTCTTTGTATCACCTTGGTGACACCTTCAGTAAAATATTTTTCCTATGGTTAATTATTCTGACTGTTAAAGAGTCTCATTTTTTAAATTATTCTTAGCTCTATTATCTTTATCTCAAACAAAGGTAGTAAAAAACTGCAGAAGGTGCAGAAGAGTATAACAAATGATTCAATGTCTGGAAAAACAGAGCTCAAGCTGTCTCAGCTATCAAAAAGAAAAAAAGGTATTGAAGAGTTATCATAAAGGAAAATAATAGCTAAAGAATCCTTTAATTTGTTAAAGTCGAAGAAAAAAAACAAACAAAAAACCCCAAACGAACAAACCCAGAAACTACAATACTGCCTGGACCTTGAAATGAGAAAAAAAACCAAAACATATTAATTTGGTGAGGGTACATAACCACCAGAATGGATTATCAGCAAAATGGTTCTCCCATCTCTTCATGTCTTCAGAGTAAGACAGGAGACATTTTTAGGCAAATCTATGCATCAATACAACTTTCAGTACTCCACAGCTCATTCTAGAGTGGAAATCAGTTGGTGTATTCAAAAAAATAATGTATTCTGCTATATTATTTTATAACTTTAAAAAATGTCTCTGAGCCCTAGCACACAGCTAAACCAGGGCTGTTCCCCCACAGACACCTCAGCAAGTCTTACAACTTCCTAGGAGACCTCCTTGCCAGGAACTGTCACAGCTTGGTTACTCGTGCTGTAGTAACGAGTACGGTAAACTACTGAGTGTGCAAAGCAGCTCAGGTCTATGGCTGGTTGAAGATAAAAAATGTAAACTCTGCTTTGTACTCCTGCTGTTGGGCTGCAGAAATGAAATTTCTGTTCACAAGCTTCTACTGTTATTCTCTGAACTGCACTAACTCTGTCCAGTTTTCAAAAGACAGAGACATAGGCAGCACTCTTAAAAACAGGAGATAATTGAAGCTGCAAGATGCAGGCTTCCAGAAAAGCCTGTTATTCAGAAGTTGCACCTGGAGTGGAAACCCCTCATGTTTAAGTAGAAGGAAGGGAAAGTCCTGAAATCTCTTGCTGAGAAGCCACCTCTAAAGCTGCAAGAAGGGCTCATGGTACTGGAAGAATCAGTCAAGGAATGAGACCTGGTGAAGTCAGGGAAAGGTGCTAAGGTGCTGTAACAGAGCTGGCATGGGGCAGGTGAGCAGCCCCAGCCCTGGTGCCAGCAGAAGGAAGGGCAGGCATTTCTGACATGCAGGTCAAGTTCCATCTCTATTGCCCAAATGGACTTGGCAATATCAGCTGATGTTTGGGAGCTTCAATTTACACACAGCATTTAAATTATCCTAAATTTCTGGCACTAAAAGTGCTGAAATTTTGCTTTTTCATGTATCCAGAGGCATCTCATCCTGATGTACGCTATAGCCCTCTCTCAAACATACGCCCATTGCCATCACAAGCAAGATGATCACATCCTACTTCTCAAGGAGTCAATCTTTAAGTGCTTCCCAGAGGGGGACCAGTAAGGCTTCACACAAAATGTGGCCCCATAAGGAAGCTAACAGCTAGGAGCGTCAGAGAATGTGAAAAATGCAGGTTCAGTTCTCACCTATTCTTGCAGCTGCTAAAATCCATAATTTTGGTATCTCAGAAGTGTGGTCTCACCTTCTAGCTATGTATTTTCTGGGTAGAGGTACTACTGATTTCTCAGTTGCTCCTTGATGAAGTATAGCATTTTGCATAACTACCAAAGAAGCAAGCACAGTAATTATAATTCTGCTCTGGATAGTTCAAATAGATAAGTACATCCCTTCTTGTATGTTGAAATTGCTACTTTGGTTCCATTAGAAACATTATAGCTCACTTCTAGAGCAGGAGACTAGATTTTTATACAATTAATTCACTTCTATCTAAAATGGAATTACTAAACTCCTAATGGCAGTCAGTACTGTGATATAAACTGTGGTAATATTTTAATGAATTGAAGAATAAATAGACAACAAAAGTTTAGGCCATCCCTGGCAGTTAATATACCTGAAGTTAACAGTTATTATACAAGTGACTGAAATTTTCAAGTTGATAGAAAGAGCCTTAGAACTGAGTTTCATGCACTCATTCTGTAACAATAAAATATGATAAAATGGAAACTTTGTAACTAGAATGAACGTACTTTTGGATCACTCTCTTGTTATTCAGCACAAAAGTGCCCTGATGAGTTCAAATCATTTTCTTATTTTCAAAACACAACTAGAGAGAAATGCATTCACATCACAGCTACCATCAAAAGTGGGTAGCAGCCTTTCTTGCAAAAAAAAACCCCAAACAACCTAGCAAACCCAGCAAAAATTACTGAAGCAAAACAAACTCATTGACAGACTGAATCATTATAAGCTTCCTTTCAACTGCTTGCTAAGGAACAGTTATTCATCAGTATAGGCAAAATCTAGGGTAGGTGAGTAAGATTAAGATACTTCCCAAACCACTATGATTATGCTCAGTACCATTAAAGTTATTCTCTGCCATTGACAGGCAGGTTCACTGTCCTTCAGCGGGAACAAAAATGAAAAGAAACATTCTGCTGCTGCAAGTGCACAGAAACACCTGCTGGAGTAGGGACAGTTCACAAAGGGGGTGGACATGGCTCTCGAAAAAAAAAAAAAGAACCAACACATTACTGCTCCGTGGCAGGAAATCCTGGAAAAGTACACTGAGTGCCATGTAAGAACAACCATCACCATCTTCAGAACAGGCTAATATTGCAAGACAGAGACCATGATTTACTATTAGGATCTGAGTTTTCAAAGCTCCAAGTGTTATCTGACATTTCTCCTGTCAAATTCAGTGTCATATTCAGCACTGATTTAAGTGGGAACATAATTAAATCATTTAAAAAATGCCAAGCACTGGACAACATCATGGCATGGACAGGATGTGATGGGAGTACTGCTTTTACTCTTTCATGTATTCAGACATGCACATGTCATGAAATAATGAAGTAATAAAAATGGGGAAAACACAAGGGGAAACACAACACCTTCCAATAATTTCCAGCTTCTCTGATAAATTCCCACTGGAAAACATTACCTTTTATGCCTCCCCGTCACTACTCAGAAAGAGTGAACAAAAATGTTCTCAGAAACGCATTTCACCTTCCACCCTCCCCCTGCTTGTGGTTAATCCATCTGTCTGTTGACCTGTCAAAAGCACTTGGACATGAAGGGCCCTGCACCAATGGGTGAATGCTGACTGATCCTGACACTGCTGCTCTGAGCAGTAAACAGCTCCCATAAGTATCAGTGTGTTCAACAGGGCTAGAGGCCCCTCAATCCACTGCCTGGTGTGATTCGGTTTTAATAGTTTTCTTGAAACATTCTCTATCCTGGTTGTTTTCAGGATCTACGATGCAGACAAAATCATGACGTATTTCTCTGCGTATAGTTCTTAACAAAACACATTGTAACAGGTAAATTATAAGCTGTCATTAGTGGGCTTTTGATAATACAAAAAACATGGGTCAAGGATCTCTGCTTCTTCCCTAAGCAAATCAACTCAAATATACATTTATAAATTAATGACATTGTGAATGACTGGTGAATGATTTACAATATGCAACTTTGGGCTTGTTTTTGTAAATATTCTGTGCAAACAATACACACTGGCTTTATGAAGAACTAAAATTTATTGGAGAAGGTCCCTGCCACTCAATTATCAATGTCCAAAAGTAGGATTTTCATAGAATCATAGAATGGTTTGGGTTGGAAGGGACCTTAAAGATCATCTAGTTCCAATCCCCCTGCCATCAGCAGGGACACCTTCCACTAGACCAGGTTGCTCAAAGCCTCATCCAGCCTGACCCTAAATACTTCCAGGGAGGGGGCATCCACAACTTCTCTGGGCAACCTGTTCCAGTGTCTCACTACCCTCACAGTGAAAAACTTCACAAGTCATTACTGCTAACATTAGATTGGGTAAAAAGGTTAGGCAGAAATGCACACAAAATGGGGGACTATACCCAAGAACAACTGTTGTAGGCAGCAAAAACAAGAAGTACCACTACCATGGCTGAAAGTACCTGTTGAATGTCTTCCCAGCTTCAGCATCCGCAGGGCTCTGAGCAGTCTCAGCACTTGGACAATGCGCCCCACGTTCTCCAGTTCTTGGGAGCTCTCCCCACCACACAGGCTCTCCACCAGCAGAGTGATGTAGAAAGGTAAAATAGCAAGGAGGTCTATGATGTTTGCCACACTCCTTAGGAAGTGACACCGATCCCGTGCACACAGGAATCTCAGAACAAACTCCACAGTGAACCAGGCAATACACAGATACTCTAGAGCATCCAGTAGTGGTGGTGCCAGCCAGCTTAGCTCTACTGAAATCAAAGCCATGTTGGCAATGGACACAACAACAAAAGCCATGGACAGAGTGCCAAAAGTCCTGGCTGCTGCAGAGGAGCCAGGCTTTTCCAAAACTTCCCAAAGTTTCTGTCTGACACTGGGACAGAGGCTACCAGAAAAGTCCTCTTCCTCATCTTGGGCATCCAGTTCTTCTGCATCTTTCTTGATGTCTAAGGCTTCACTCAGCTCCTTCCTCCTGAAGTACCTGCCCAGAAAGCCCCCCAAAGAGATTTTCAATACCAATATGCATGTGTTTTTTTTATCCTCTATCATGTGAGACATAAGAAAACACATTAAAACATACCTTCAGCGAGCTCCGAAAACACTGATGGCAGCATATGGTTGATGATTTTATTGAGACCCTGTCACATGTTTCCATTGACCTGACATTTTTATTCCCTCATTTCACATCAGTGGCAGTTTGTATGTGCAGAGTAATTTTATTCTGATAGTGTGTTATTTATACAGATCATGCTGACTACAGTAGGATCTGCTGCATAACTAACATGCATCCTTGTAAGCAATCCTGGCACAAACAGACCCTTTGTGTCTAAATTGTCTTCATTTTCATTAATTACATTTTGTTTTTATTACATTGGTGTGTATCTATAACACTAAAAGGGAAGGCATAATAAAAGCCATGCAGTTCATGGATGAAGTTCTGATCAATATACATGAAGATTACCAGTTATCTTTCTTTCTTTAAATATACGAGTCCTCACACAACAAAGTGCACAAACATCTGTGCTGAGTAAAACTTACAGATTGTAAATGCATACATGAGTGTTTTGTTGGAGCAAGAGTATGTTTATTTACAGAACAATTTCATTAAAAAAAAAAAACGTTCCTAAAGTGCGCAAAAAAATCCTTTTCTTTCATATCTCTGTTCTTGACTCCTGCAAATCTCAAGCCTTAGGCAAAGGGGCTATGCAATTTCGCCTTCATTGATACTCCTGCATGTGTCAAAGAGGTCTCTAGCTCTTGTACTACCAAAGAAGTAGGAGCTTTCTGTTACACCTGCCAGGAAAGGAAGAAAAAGATGAAAACTAGGATCCAACTCATGCACCTGCAAAACTGGACCATGCTAGGGTAGGATAACTAGTATCCTTTTGGGGTGGGGTTGCTGCTTTGTTTCTTTCTAATAATTTTGCTTTAGATAAATAGCAGTTACACTCTTCAGAGAATTTCTTCAATACCAACAAACCAATCAGTAACACTAAAAATGGTGGCAAAAAAATTAAATTAACTGCAAATAGAACTAACAGAAATGTCCTGGGGTTGGTTAAGTTGAAACCCACCTCGTTCTGAAGCTGCCTGTTACAATTTGTCTACAGTGAGCCATTTTCCCGCTGTTGCTACCCCCTCCCTGGAAGCTGCTACATCCATGTGTGATGCTTCCCCCCATCACAGCTCCTCCTTGAGCCATGCCACCCACTCTCAGGCTGGCAGGTGACCACCCCTCCTTCTGCCTCTCCAGCTTGATCCTGGAAATCCTCCAGAATGGAAAGTGTGGAGTGGGGAGGCTCCAAACCCTCCTAGCACCATGCCCGATTCCACATCCAATCCCTCTAACTATGACAACCTCAAAAGGGATGACTGAAGGGATGCTTCTCCTTTCACAATCTCTTTCATCACTGGCATTATTCCTTTCAAACATTTTGGGCTTCCAGGGTCAGTCCAAAGCCAGTACAGGACAACTAGGACCCTGCTCCTGTTGGGGTCTCACTATCTTGACCTCACTGCCACCCTGTCCCTCAGCAAAGGTCGTCACCTCACCCAACACACCACTCTCCATTTCCTACATGCATTCACATCTAGAGTAGGATTCAGGGCTGAACTCATCCAGCTTTGAGTATGCTTTCCCCAGTGCTCTGCTACCTCACCTACCCTCACTGCTGGATCTCTCACCTGAGCTTTCATGCATGCAAGCCAATGCTGAGCTCACCCAGCCCACAATCCTGTGCGCTGCATCTTCCCGCAACTCACCGGTCTCTGCGGCAGGAATCGATGCTGAGCTCATCCAAACCCCAGTACTGGATCTCTTGCAGGAAGGAGAGTGCACAAAGCTGCTCCATCACATGCAGCCTCCCTGTCTGGTAGTAATTCAGTATGTAGTGAAATGCCTGTGAGCTCCGGTCAAAGAAATACTCATTCTCCACGAGGTTGGCATCATCACAAAGCTCAAGGAGGCCAGAGGCCACGTCCCGGGCAGCAGAGACCACTACGGCCAGTTTGCCAAGACGGGTGTCAGGGTAGCACGACAAAGTTTGCTGGGACATCACAAAGCGGCTGCCTCCGACATTGATAGTAAAGCAGTCCAAGGAGGGAATGACCTTCTGCAGCAGGGGACCCTGCTCTTCCTCACTGGAGAAAACACTGGACTCCAGGGAGCCCAGGGATGTGCTGCTCCCTGGTTCCTCCAGGGATGCTTGGGAAGAAAGAGACATGCAGCAAGGAGGCGACTTCATCCTGTAGTTGCCAG